CTACTCCCAATATTCGCACACATATATTGGACTTATAATCTGCAAATATGTACAAAACAAAGATGATAAAGGAAACTAGGCATAAAACATCTTTAACTCTAGTTAAGACTTCCTATTTTCTTCATCAAATGAAGCCCTCAGTCCTGAAACAAATTTTTGAATTTTTTTTTTTTTTGCTAAATGAAATTTCTTCTTTAGATCAAACCTTTTATTTTGTTTTCAAGTGTTTTCGATTTAGAAAGACTCTATGATTCATGACATATGTTCAATGTGAAAAATATTTTGATTGGTTTCAAACTAACCTGCACACACCCATTTCTGTTTTAGAAACAATTCTACATATAATTCGATATCAATGAAATTGTATTAATTTTATAGAACTAGAAAAAATTGTTTGTTTGGAAAACATCGATAAGATTAATTAGACAGATTATGTATTTGATAAAATGGAGAGATTTAGCTTTCGGAGTGGTGATCTTTTTCTTACTAGGCAGGTTTGCAAAATCCAACACGTTGACTCAAGTTATTTTGTGAACTTTTCTACCTGTTCCTACTAAATAAATTAGAATTCGATGAACATAATCATCCCCAAATGATGCAACTTCTGTGTTAAGATAAATATTGTATATTTTCCTTTTTCTTGCCAACATGTTCTAAAAGCAGACTAGCTGTAACTTGAACTCAAGTCATAGCTCGAAGATGGTTGGAGCCTTCGAGGCAAGCAACAAGATGGGTTATAGTCACCCCCATATCTATTATTGTACAAGTTAAGTTGTCAAAATACTAAGACCATGAACATATATAGTTTGCTAGTATTGTCGATGTGTCACCACTCATATTCAAGATTGTATATATATATTGCATGTTTTATTAACAAAAATGTTTTTTTTTGTCAATCGTAGATACCAGCATGCGGAACAAAATTTCGATGTTTTGAAGTTGGAGTTCTCTCACATNTATTAATTATTGTTTCAAAATTAATTACTTTAGGCACTACCAAAAAAAATATATATATTCAAAAGAAATCTTTTAAACTCATCGACTCAAAACATGTTCAAATTGGCTTAATTTTTTAAAAAATTAATGTGTTTCAGCATCTTTTTAATAAAATTTTATATTCGGAAGCAGCTTACTGATTTTTTACAGAGCTTTTTTAAAATAAGATTACTATATGCATAAATGCCAATTGTAGATACCAGAGCTTTTTTAAACTCATCGATGTTTTTAAGTTGGAGTTCTCTCACATCTATTAATAATTGTTCCAAAAATAACTACTCTAGGCAGTAGGCACTATCAAAAAACCAATTTTCTCTAAATTAAATCATAGTAGTTTACATAATTTTGTTGACTAACAACCGTGACAAAAAAAAAAAAACAAATCAGTTGAGTTTTGAATGATAACTTTTTAATGTTGAAAGAGTTTTTAATGTGAAAACAATGACAAGCATCTTAAGGTTGGGATCAATGTGACAATGAACTTTCAAGCTAGATCTCCCACAATCTTGTAACCACTAATTTGTCATTACATGGTTTTAAAATTTTAAAGAGCTCCACCTAAATTTGAATTTAAGAGATTAGTCAATTATTTTGAAATTTTCTCCATTCGACACCTATTCTAACGAAACAATATTAAAATGTCACAATAATACACATTTGAGAGATATATTTAATGAAAAATTGGACCTTATAAAGAGGAAGAGAATCCCCATGTGCATGTGCTATACAGATAACATTGATTGCTTTGCCAATAAATTTCGGACCCTTAGCTTAACTGTCCATCTAAATAAAATCTATACTATAATAAGAGACTAGCACACTCCAGAATAGACAAGTGGCGTTCTGTATTTTTGATACCTGTAATTTTAATGAGTAAAACGTTAAAAATAAGATCTTTTACAGATTGACAAAAAAATTCGAAAGATCCTACACTTAATCGAAAATA